TTCTTCACTTTCCCAGGCCTCTTTTCAACTTTGATACCAGAGATAGTTATTCACTCCTTTCCCATTCCTGAAAAATAGTCTTTGCATGATGTAATGAAACTGGCACTGGAACTGGGGATTAATTCTTAACCAGCGGTGTGGCCATGAGCTAGCCACTTCACTCTGCTGGTTTCAGTTTTATCATCTGTAAAGTCTGGTGGACAGAGGTTTCTGAGCTCCCTTTCAGCTCTCCTGTGAATTGTAAGCTTCAGACTTGGCTACTTTCGCTTTAGCCAAGATATAGATTTCCTTTCTTTGGTAGCAGCTCAGTTGTGTGATATCATCTGTGGTCTTCAGGAACTTCTGCAGTTTGCTGTGTGTCCAAGATGGGGAGGATGGGTCTGAAGTTGGGGGAAATGGGGGAGTTGTTCTTCAGTGGTGTAAAGTGTCAGCGATGCTAGATGAATACATTCTAGAACTTTGCTGTACAACCTAGTGCCTAGAGTTGGCAATACAGTATTGTGCCCTTCAAGATTTGGTAAGAGAGCAGATCTCATGTTAAATGTTCTTACCACAGAAGAAAGCCTGGGGTGGGTGGGAGGGGAGGTCACAGCGAAACTCTGAGAGTTGTTGGATATGTCTATGACCTTGATTGTGGTGATGGAACCATGAGTATTTTTATATGTCCAAACTCATCAAATTGTATACATTAAATATAGGCAGTTCTTTGTATGTCAATTATACCTCAATAAAGCTGTTTGTTGTTGTTGTTTTAATGATAGGCCCATGTATTTACCTTTATGTATAGAGGGGTAGCAGAGAGAAATTAGGCAGGAGGAAAGTCTGGAAAAGAAAGCTGACAATAAAATCAAATGTATTCTGTAGCAAGTTGGGGGAAAAATATATGACTTTAGACAAAGAAAAATCCGAAGGTACCATGAGATTGTTTTATAATGTTGATTATTAGTTACAGTAGAGGCTAGGCTGCTATATCAGAGACCTAAACACATAGTAGCTTAAATAAAATCAAGGCTGGAGAAGTCTCTCTGTTCCATGATGTCATAGCGACCCAGATTCCTTCCATGTTGCTACTTTCTTTCCTCCTAGGGCAGTGGTTCTCAACCTTCTGGCCCTTTAAATACAGCTCCTCATGTTGTAACCCAACCTTAAAATTATTTTCGTTGCAACTTTATAACTGTAATGTTGCTACTGTTATGAATTATAATGTAAATATCTGATAGGCAGGATGGTCTTAGGCAACCCCTGTGAGAGGGTCCTTCGACCGCCGAAGGGGTCGCGACCCACAGGTTAAGAACCGAATGTCCTAGGGTATTATCCTTGTCCTTGTAATTAAAATTGGATCTCTCACATGGCTTCATTGCAGCCTTCAAAAAGGCCACACGTATATGACAAATTTAAACAAGTGACACGGACGTTGGACTAAACTCTGCTAGCATTCTACTGAGTGCTGAATCATGTGTTGTGCCTTTCTGTAAGGCAGGCTGGGAAATAGGGCTCTATACTCCTCATCTACGTATCCAAAAACACAGAGAGAAGGCATCTGAGGGGGCAATAGTCTGCCACAACTTGCTTATTTGGCAACTTCATCAATTCCTAGATTTATATTGGCTTCTATTATTTATCCTTTATATGGCCATGTTGTCCTCTAAATGCCCATCTTGATTACATAGCCTAAAAAGTGCTTTGGATGATCTAGGATTTACCCAGGCAAATCTGTGTTCAATATTCATCTTAGTTCACAAATTGAAAATTAAGAATTATCAGAAAAAAATATTGCAATTTTGAATTATATTCCTAATTCTGTATAACTCTGATACTCTAGTCTCTGTACCAATGCTCTGCAAGAGGATTAACATTTTTATTTGGGTCAAAAGCGAAATTCCTGGAAGAGCCTACTATTTTCAAGGCATAAAGCCAGCCTACCTGCAAACATGAGGCTCTCAGTGGGGTTAGCAACCCAAAGTCACCCTATTAGATGCGTGCCTGATTTTCAGAGGCATGATGGGAAGTTACTGGAATACAAATTCATGGGGTGGGAAGAGCCTACCATATATAAACATTCAATCTATTTGAGCTATTGCTACTATTACTGGTATTATTTTAAAATTAGTTTTAAGGATATAGAAGTGATAATTTGTGGGGTAAGGAGAGACTCTTTCACTAACAGGTCCCGTTATACATTTTGTGGGCATTTGGACAAAGAGTCTAGAAAAACTGCACTCCTAAATTGTCTCTGTTGATCAAAACCCTGGAAATTAATGTGTATGGTGGGTCTCCCTTGCTTTCTCATATCTCTCAACCCTCTATTCTTCCCTCCCTTTCTCTCTCTTGCTCATTAATTCGTGCTGTGCTGTTTAGGACTTCATCTTTTCTCACTTCTTTCTAACCAGTCTTGTTACCTCCATTGCTAGAATCATCTTTCTAATTTGCAAATCTTACTTTGTCTATATTTTGGTTAAATACATTCGATGTCTCCCCAGTTTCTCAAGGGAAAGTTTAAATGGCTCACAAGATTCTCCACCATCTTGCCTCAGCCTGCCCTTTCACTTCATTTCTAGTTCCTGCAATGCAAGCTAATACTAGCTAGAACAACTAGCCACAACCAATTACTAACTCATTCTCTGGCCCACTGCATACAGTGACATTACTGTGCCTTCCTGGGCAGGATGGGATCCTGAAAAAAAGTGCAGTAGGCGAAACCTACCTTGTCCACCGGACAAATGCATACTTCTGACCCAACACAAATGTCATTTCCTCTTTGTTAGCCTTCTGTGACTCTATCTAAACATTCAGGCAAAATCAGTCATTCTATCATCTATATTCCTATTGCCATTTAGGTATATCTAAGTTGGATATAGCACTTATCACATTACATTATTATTTACCTTTGTGCCTTGTCTCCCCCATTGGACTGAAAGTTTCTTGGAGTCAGAGATAATGTCTTATTGTCTGTATCCCCAGCTCCTAGCACATTCAATGTGGTACACGGTACATATTAAACAGTTATATTATTATTATTATTATTATTATAGCTATTGTATATTGAATATACATAGTATACTAGGCAAATTACATATGTTATCTGACTATCTCCCATTTTCTAGATGAGAAATCTAAAGTTGTATTACAGAGGTTAAATAAATAGTAGGCCCAACATTAATACCTAAGTTGGACTCCAAAGATTATACTGTTTTGCTGTGGACTAGATGGAGATATAAAAGGTCACTTAGGAAATAAGTGCTAACCTACCACATTAAATGGAGTTAATGAACTACAGACAAAGCAGAGACATTTTACTGTTACCTACATTCCATCAAGTGTTATTTCTAGGGTAAAAGTAATATAACAAGTGGAAATGGATGGTCAGTGGAGAAGGCCAGGATTAAACGCCACAGACTTTCTAGAACAAGACAATATCAGAATCTATAATGGGTAGACCAGAACAGCAAAGCTTATCTAAGACCAAGGGCAGCCACAGTACCCTACCTCCCAGTAATGCTGCATCCTTCAGTTAGTGGTAAAGTGTACGCTTAAAGCCAAAAATGTGGTTCAATATAAAATAAGAGGTTTCTCTAACCTCTAATTTAACTGTACAAGGTCCTGTTATTAATTAATTAGGTGCTTCTACCAAGGACAGTTTAAGCAAATCAGACAACTGCCAGGTTGCATCCTACGCTTAAAGCCAAAAATGTGGTTCAATATAAAATAGGAGGTTTCTCTAACCTCCAATTTCACTGTACAAGGTCCTGTTATTAATTAATTGGGTGCTTCTACCAAGCACAGTTAAGCAAATCAGACAACTGCCAGGTTGCATCCTTTTCCTCTTGACTTGCATTTGGACAATTTTTTTTTTTTTTGTCAAGTGAGCTAAGCACACATTTTCCTATAACTCAGTTATTCAGCAAAACGTCCTAAACTACTTAACACATTAAAAAACAAAACACCACACACCAAAAAACAAGCGCAATAGCCTGCTTGTGATGCTCTCCATTTAAAGGGGCACCTCTTCTCTTTAGAGTTGCCCCCTTGCCCGCCACCCCCGCCCCATACACACACACACACACTGTGCTGGTAACTAGTTTCTTATTTAAAACAAATAAAAGGTTAACATTGAAAGAGCCAGATCACATGGTCTTACGGAGCCTGGGTTAATGACATAAAATGAATCGTAAGATGAAGGACTTAATGTTCCAATAACTATCTTATAAAAAAAACACACCAACCTTTTAAATATTAGAGCCTTTCTTTAGGTGGATGGGAGGTTGAGGGGTGTGTTAAGTTTTGTGGAACACAGGTTTCGTAAGCCTATTGGCCAATTAGATGTTTGCTGTAAAGGAACAGCTTTTTCTTGAGGGAGCCCACCGAACAATTTCATGTTCACTCATTTGCAGAGAAGAGAGACAATGTCTTTTCCTCTGTGAACCTGGAGCAGAAGCTCTATTTCACTGTAAGTTCTCAGTGACGTTTTGCACTCTCTTGATTTAATGAACCAAAGAGGATCTTTAACTCTTGGTCTACACCAGTGCAAATAAAGGTTAAATCTCTCACTGACCATCATGAACTAGCCTAATAACTCACGAGAGGCTATGGGAAAAGAAACTGAAAAGGCAGGTGTACAGACTTGATTAAAACGTTCCAAAACCCGTACAACCGCAGGCAAAGGTACTATATATATCCTTACACCTCCCTAGCCCCGCGCGGTCCGCAAGCAAAGGAACTTCAATGCGCCAAAAACAGGATCCCCGCCAGCAGGGCCTAGTAACACAGGAGCTTTTCTGCCGAACAGTGACCGGGCCGGAGCTTGCGCTGAATACCGGGGCTCCTATTGGCCACACGCCGTGGGGGAGGAGGAGACTGGCGGGGAGAGAGACAGGAGGAGGGGAGAAGGGGGCAAGGCCTTTTCCCTGCCCCCTCCCGGTCCCCTCCATAGGCTGCCGCGGGCGCCTAAGTGCGTGGTTACTATGCAAATTGCAGCGATTGCGGAAATAAACAAGGGCGTTGGGAGAGAAGAGAGAGACTGCGAATCGATTGCAACTTCTGCAAAGTCTCGTATAATCCAAAGCACACACGGCAAAAGCAGAGAGAATCTGAGAACCAGCCAGCCCGGGTTGGATCGCTTTCAAAAGAGGAGAGAGAGACAGTGAGAGAGGCAGAGAGCGCACATTGCAATTGCGAACGCCTTCTGATTTGGAGTAAAAAAAAAAAAAAGAATCCAAGAAGCCTGCAATTGGCCAACAGCTTTAAAAAAAAAACCTCTTCCGGGTTTTCAACGGTTCCAAGTTTATTTAGATTTTTTTTAATGCAAAAAAAGGGGGACAACAAATGAAGCAATTCGTCTGAACATTTTAAAGTTTCTCACGTACTCTTTTTACATTGCAATGGTACGTGGTACATCTTAAACTTTCTATTTTGCGTTTATACGGATATGCGTTTTATAAGAACAATAACGGTAGAATGATTTTGTTTAATGGCTAAGACTAAAATTTCTCTAGCTTGCATATGCATTTAAGTGATTGCTGGGTAATGTCTATTGTGATGGTTTTGTTTTAAAGATGTAGCTTTGTGGATGGCTTTTTTGCTATGTGCATCTGAGACTGGGTTTCCTTTTTTTTTCCCTGAGATTTGAAAAAATTGCTGAGCTTGACAGATTTTTTTCCTCCTAGCGCTTGCTCCGTTCCAGAAACATAGGGGGGTGGGAGGGGGGAATCCTGTACGTGCTGCTCTGTTCTGTAAAAAGACGTCTGGCCTCAGCAGTCAACCTAACCCGAAAAGAAATGTCTGGACCCGGAGAATAATTGACGATTCCATCCTCTAATCAATGGGACAATAGGGGAGATTGACAAAAGCTTTATCCAATCATGAGAAAGCTTGGGTGTACAATGGTTCGCAATTGCCAGAGGGGGCGGGGCAGAGATCTGAAGTTCTCTGCGGCTCTGAAAGGGATGGTGTGGTTCAAGCTGTCAAAAGCTACAAGCTCTTCCGGATTTTAGCAAGCACAATAGGAAAGAGTTTTCGAGTTTAAGAAGAAAAAAAAAAAACCACGGATGGGGGATTTTTGCATGAATCTTATGCTTTCTTCACTGTCTTTTTGGAAAAGTTAGAAAATTTCTGCTAGAGAAATGTTTAACTTTGCATGAATTAGTATTTTTAAATTCGGAAAGTTGTTAACTGTCCTGGAAGGTGAGGTCCAACTTTTAAAAATGTGTGACTTAAAAACTTCCCTAAATTATGGGACTGTAGTGAGCTTTGGGAAGTAGTATATTGCACAGTCAGCATTACAAAACTTCTCGCTCTGATTATCTTAGAAGCTTTGGTTTTTCCAGTACTTTGGAGGAATAGGCAAGCCTCCCTTTTTGAAACTCTAAACAAGTTTTAAGCATGAGAGAATGTTTCGCAGGTGGACTGACAGCTGTTTTTTACATTTTAAAGGAAGAGGGAGAAAAAGTAGTTTTTCTTGACTTCTTTTGAATTTTGCTGTTTAAATATATGGTCAGTAGCAAATACTATATTACGACTGGCCAAATTCACATTTCTTCTTGTTACTACAACAACCCCTGTGGAGGGTATGTGTGGAAAGTTGCTGACTGGCTAACTCTTAGCTGGAATCTGGCCTCTTGGACAAGTCTTTGACACCAATCCAGTGGAAACCTACTGCAGTAGCTTATCTTGGAGACAGTAACTGGCAGCCTCTGGCTAAAATATATCCATCTCTTCCTTCCCTCTGAGCAGAGTAGACACTTAATTCTGTTGAGGAGTGAGTAGAAAATAATATGAGCTCTTTCCCATGTTTGTATTATATCCCATGGAGCCATTTCCCAAGGCTTTAGGCCTTCTCATCAACTCCAGTTTGGAAATTTGATGTAAGAATCCACTTGCATGCTCAGTTCAGCAACATGATTCAATTTAGTAATACAAGCATAGGAGAAAAATCTGCACACCAGTGACCAGCAGGTCAAAAAACTAGAGAAGAAAAATGTTGAAACATGCTAGTGACAAAGTTAGCCTTGGCAAGAACGACAGTTAATGGTGTTGTCACTTATGAACCCCAATTTTACCTTTACTGCTTTGGGCATTAAAATCTAAATCATATTAATAAGATCTTCCTATTAAGTGACCTCTAAAACAAGAGGTATTTGAGATGTACATATAAGTGAAACCTTATTGACGTAATTTATATATCTAAGAGGATTTCACTAAAACTGGCAAGGTAACATTTCTGCAAATAAAACATAGTAAATGCAAGGCTGGGCTCTGTGCCAGGAAGAATATGGATAGCCAAGAGCATGACAGGAGCCTCTTTTGCGCGGAGACAACCCCATTTCAAGGCAGCCTCCCAGCACTTGCAAAATAAATGATTGGAGCGGTTATTTCCAATAAGGGGTTTATCCTTCCTAACAATAGGGCATTTATATGATTGCAGTAAACTAGTTTTCCTCCTTCACCTGTGCTTCCTAGACTGTTTTCTATGTCTTCCCTCTTCGTTCTTCCCTCCACCCCTGTTCGCTCTCTCAAGTGTCTTAGCATCTTTGTGAACTCTGGACAAGGATTTACTTTTGCAACTTGGGAAGAGGGGAGAGAGTTGGAAATGTTTTTTACCCCCAGACTGCCCTTTGAGAAACATCTGTTTCTTTGTGTGTGTATTTAAATTTATGCCTGTTGGAGAGAAAGTTACCAGAAGCCTTTTTGTAACTGTAACTCTTCTACTGTATTTTTCTCAGTCGTGTTTCCAAAGACTGTAGTTGGAACTGTACTTTGTAGTGTTTCCCCCGCCTCCCCCCTCCCTCCCCCCATCCTCCCGCGGGGGAGGGAGTGGGAGCTGGCGGAGATAGGAGAGAAAGCAGGAGCGGATGTGAAGGGCTTTGGTGCTGAACTTGGATCCAGCCCTTGCCTAGAGGGCGCAAACAATCGTCCCATATCCAAAAGTCTTACGAAGGGCGCCAAAAGTTACTTAAGATAATATTGCTAACCACAGAAAGCTGGAAATCGCGGGCACATCCACTGCTGCAACAAAAGAAGTTTTTAAAGTAGAAATATCAGCATTAAATTACTTTTCTCCATTCTTTTTCAACGAGGGCGACGTGCCAGTTCTTTCTTTCTTTCTTTTTTTTTTGAGATTCAATTAAAAGTAAGAATCTTTGGTATTTTGGAAGGAGGCAGATGTGAAGTCTATCTTTTAATACACCAAAAGGAAGATTTTAATCTGCTCTGGAAGACAGCTTCCCAAGAGTACATACTTGAACAATAACTTCTCACTGTGCCTCAGTTACATGTTGGGACTGTCAGCCAGAAACGTCTATCGAGGAAACTTGGAGCGCCTTGAAGTTATAGATCCCAGCAAAGGTTTTGTGGCCAGGGATTTTTGTCTCTGTAACTCAGCTTAGCTTTTAGGACATTTTCCCCTGCAGAAATCCAAGAGGAACTAAGGAAAAGCGGTTGTTTAGTTTGGAAAAATGGGACTCTCTTATTAAAGGTTTAAGCCGTTCTTTCCCCTCACCTCTTAATAAATAATCTGAAAGATGTCCAAGAATATTTAGAATCGGGGAGTGTGACAATGGTCTCTTGACCATTCAGCATTTATTTTAGCAATAAACTGACTGGAGAACAAGCATAAAATAATTTAGACAAATGCAGAATATTTCCCCTGTACCAATCTTGCTGCCCCTTCATTTAAAAAGGGGGGAGGAGGCTGAAGGAGAATGGCCTTTAACACCTCCCCTGACCCTCACCTGCAGAGTGGGCATTCCTACAGTGAATTTCCTCTTTTCAGAGGCTAAGCTCTGTAACTTCTACCAAGGTGTAGAGTGCCCTGTCTGGGTGCCAGTGTCTTTCAATGTGATACACTCGTCTTTCCTTTTGGAATTTTGAGAAGGATTAGCAAATGCAGCAGGCTGCAAACTAGCATGAGAGAGACATGAGGAGAAAGAGATGGGATGGGAGTTTGGATGAAGGAGCTATACTTTTTTTTCTTTCCCCCAAGTAGGGAGGAGAGCCTAGAGAGAAAATATGAGGTTAAAAAAAAACTGGAAAAGCAGGCTTACTTGGCAACTTGCCAAACCCTAAAAACCACCCCCCTTTTCTGCCAAAACAATACTTTAGCAAACCTAAAATAATTGCAGGAAGCTCTTTTCCATTTTAAGAACTATTACCTGGGGGAGGAAAAAAGGGGATTCTTAAAAGGCACCCTTCCAGAGGTGTTCCAGGCACATGGATGGTCATCAGAGCCTGTGTCCAGTTCTGGGCACGCGTTTGCGGACCAGAATCATCTCTCTTCCCGAAGGGGACATCCCATTAACATTTTTTTTTTCCTAAAAAGACAAAGATGTCACAGCTAAACCACTGTTGTTTCTGAACGTGATAGAACTTTTTCTATGGCGTCTGTGTTCAAACCCATTTAGTTTCACAGTCCTGGGAGGGAGAACGCTCATTAATCTCCGCCTCCCTTTCTCCAGACAACCCCCACCCCCAAATCCGGTGAATCTTCTGTGTGAAAATTTTCTCCACCACCCCCGCTCCTGAATGCCATCGGACTTAAGCGGCGCAAAGTTTGCAGGATTTTTGTGCATAATGACGCCTGCCGACGATCTATTCCCACAGAAAGCTCCGTTGGAGAGATTACAAGCCTTTTGAGCCATACCGCATTTCAGAGGAGAAAAAAAGTTACCTAGGAGGTCCGATTTAAAAAAAAAAAAGAAGAAAATTTGCATACATGCAAATGGACCCTCAGGCCGTGTCCCAGGGTCTCCTGGTGCCCACGCCGCGAACCGGGGGGTACCAGACCACCTGGCAAAGTTGCCCAAGTCCTCCCCCGAGGTCCGCGAAGGTCTGCGGCGGGAGTTGGGGGATGGGGACGAGGAAAAGTAGTTTTGTTTGCTTAAGCACATCCTGTGGCAGCCTATAGCTGCCCGGGAGTCCAGACTGTAACTGCTCCTCACCGCGTTACCCAGTAATCCCACGCCGCGAACCGGGGGGTACCAGACCACCTGGCAAAGTTGCCCAAGTCCTCCCCCGAGGTCCGCGAAGGTCTGCGGCGGGAGTTGGGGGATGGGGACGAGGAAAAGTAGTTTTGTTTGCTTAAGCACATCCTGTGGCAGCCTATAGCTGCCCGGGAGTCCAGACTGTAACTGCTCCTCACCGCGTTACCCAGTAATGC